ATTTTTCTATGGATTCAATGTTTTCTTTTGTGCTTAATTTCTAACATCCAGAGTAATGATTAAGAAACGAAACTTTGCCGAAACATTCTATACACTGTATTTTGGCCTTCTTTCATAAAAAAGCAAATTTTGAAGAATTTGTAACAAAGGTCCTTTCCTAGAGGCCCATTCAATTATAAGATAGGAATCGCATTGTTGACGTAACTGATCATCCTTATTATTTCACATTTTAGATCTCCGTGCTTGACACGTCGACACAAATTCAACGTTCGTATAATATGGACAACACGTTCCACCTTCGCAAACGTGTTTCTTCATAAAACACGCTGAATCGAAATCATTCATTATATTTCGTAATGTCACGCCTAATTGGAAATAATGTCCCTGTCACTTACACATCTGTATACATTCTGCAATGCTCCAATACATCTTCATAATTTTTCATTGCAAGAACATATATAAATAGAATATGGATATTAATGCAGATGTTAATTTTCATAAATCACAATTAAACTCCGACTAAAATGACGAGGTAATCAAAATTTACCAAATTTAAAAATTTCTTATATAACACCAATTCAATTAAATCATTGAAATACATAATTAAATTATTCAGCTTTTCAGTAAATTTATTAACAAGTAATTTATTAATAGGTCTTGAAATAAATTTCGTTCTTTAGAATCTAACAATACGCAATTAAGGTTCCCTTAATCAATTTTTCAGAGACAACAGGGATCAGAATCACAAACTAACAAATCACGGATAATACAACGCACAGTTTCTTTCGAAATGATTCATTGAAGGAGAATTAATTGGCTGTAAACGAAGCGTAAAATACGTTTATTTTTCGCGAAATTGTCGGTGCCGTTTATTAGAAGTGGATTCATACTGATTTCATCATTTATGGATCCTTTAATTCACTTTAGTTCGCCGGATACGATCGACTGCGCATTTCGTTGTGTGTTTTCGTGGTAGAAAAGCCTCGATATAGTTCGGAGAAGCCCTCGAAATTAATTAAACGCACGTTCAATTAAAGTGTCCCGCAAGGACGATTGCCAGTTCGACGCTGCTTCCATTTTCTTCGCAATCGCCAGTCCCTTGCGTAACGAATTTCGATCGAGTGCTAATTCGTTCGTATCAATTGGCTGTCGTTTATTAACAATACAACGAAGATCGTCGTTGAAACGAACCTCTCATTTACCGTAAAACAAGCAGAAAACAATTTAATCCAAGGACTCCATTAATTTCATTAATCTAACCAAGGTATCCCGATTTCCATCAAAGTTTTCATACAAAATGCGAAACTAAATGAACGAAGATCTTTGTTCAAATTTCGTTTAAAATGTCTTGTTTCTATATAATTAGAATTACAAATATTTATGCAACAGATTCTCCATTTGTAATTTTCTAGATGATATAATTGTCTTCGCAAGTAAAATTTAGATTGGTGCGTATTATTCATTTACTAACTCATAATACTAGAGAATTTCTTTATTTCGCACGAGAAAATATTGACAATTGTTATGTGTAATTAAAAAGAGGTCAGAAAAATAATTAGAAAAATCTTTTCTTGGGAAATGAAAATTTAAGAAATATATTTATAGTAAGAGTTATGTAATATTTATATAATATTTCTTACGTTCTAGTGGTGGGGAAGTTAAGCGAATGTGAATGAATAAATGTCGCTTGAATATTTGGAAAGACAATTACTGTTTACCGAAGAGTATATTTTGATACTCCACATCAAAAGCGGAGGAAACTATTTTATCAGTAAACTGCCTCGAGAAATATTACAAATGACATTTCATTGATGTTTCATTTTACCGAGCAACGCGCAGAGAATTCGACTGCCAAACGGCTGACCGTATACTGATTCGTACTACTAGCAGGAATCAGTAGTTCTCGAAGAATTTAGTTAAAAGGTGCAATTAATCTTTCAAATAATTATTTTACTATTTAATTTATATTATAATTTATAATTTTAAATAAGTTCTATTATAATTACAATTATAATTATAATTATTTTATAATAACGTTAAAAAAGCCTGTCTTAAAGCGAAAATTAAATTGTTTCTAAACGTTTAAGAATACAGATATAATTTACAACTGAAAATCACGACTAATGTTAACCCTCTTGTCTTTCGTATGTTTCGTTAATAATGTCACTACTTTGAGATATTCCACCATAAAATTAGAATACATTAGTCAATATATCATCACTTTTTACTTGATTTCACTTAACACCGCGTTGAAAAGACTTAAAAACATTCAACAGTGTTATTCATGAATTATTTCGCTTTGCCACAGCGAGTATTTGAAATTAACTCCTCGACCCATGCTCTCACGAAAGCGCTTGACGAAACAACTGTATATTATACGCAGAACCGTATCCAAAAAGAGTAGATTAAATTGACCAAATTCCGTTTGGAACTATCACGAGAGTCCAAGGCGACAGCATAGGTCACGAGTTCAACCGCCAAAAATACGAGTATCATCTCGAGAACAAACAGCTAAAATTACAATGAATCAGCCAGAAAGTCGAGAGCAGAGTATCGAACAGTACCCCGGGAATTGCGAGAAATTTAAAAATTCTTCCCAAACGAATCCCCATTTTCCGCGGGCGATACACAATTTGCATTTCAAGCAGCCCCGTAATGGTCCCACTTCCCACGCGTGTAAAGATATTCATCGGCAATTCATGAATACGTTATCGCGAAATTATAACCGGCATAACTTTCGGCCGCGTTTACCCTCCGCGCTCGAAAGTATCGAGCCGCCGAACACGAGGAGAATGAAATTCGTTTAATTCCGTTAGTCCGTGTGGTGCCCGCGTCAATTCCCGAAGGCATAGGCTCAATTACCGTTTGCCGCCGCGAACGATGTATGAAAGGCGTCCCGTCGTTCCCGTGACAAATAATCATTAACGAACTAATACGATTAAAAGACGTAAACTCTAGGTAACCGTGTAACTCCGAAATAAACCGATTAAACGCGTTCGCCAATGGTGACGGCCGAGCCGTGATATAACAGCAGAATATCGAGCTCGGTTCTTCAAATAACGAACATTGTTCGCGGCTTCGGAATAGTTAATGTCTACGGTGTCTCTAATTTTATCCCTCGCGTCCGTCTTAATTACGTCCTGTCCAGACGTGGCACCAATTAACGCGAAAATTCTCCTTGATTTAGCTGGGAACGGGAACGAAACGACGGATTCGGAATGAAATTGACATATTATGCTTTGTTAACACTAAAATTACCGAGCGGTTTAATCGACTTTTTGAGAAACGTCCGTTTGGTAGTTTTAGTGTTAAAGGAACTGGTAATTTTAAGAGAATTGTCACGATTAGGTTTTTGTAGTAGCTGTTTGCGGATTAACACGTTTAACATCGACGTCACGTCACTTTAGATAATGAAAATGTCGTTAAGGCTGATATTGCTGTTCGAAACTAGCAGATTATATTTGGGAACAGGATAACTCGTTTTAGTTTCGTTTTTTCAATGCTTTAGATCTGTTGTCGCTGGAACAAATGCTCGGAGCGAATGTATTAAGGAATCATTGGGTTTTTGGAGAAATAGCAGCCAATGACGACGCAATGGATACGATCCAACAATTTCTTGTTTGAACGTTATTTAAGGAGAATTCAATCTTCTTGCAGCTATCAGCCTTAGCACAGGACACCAAAATTAAAAGTAGCACTTGGCATTTGTTGTAAATCTTTTTGAGTTATCAGGTACGAAACAAGTGACATTACATGTGCACTGATGACTTTAAACACTTCAAACTTCGAAGTCACCCTTTTAGAGGAATTGAGCAAATATAATTAAATAAAGATAATTATCCCTTTGCACTCGGAAGATTTTCACTAGAAACATTCGACACTTTCCGATGAAACGTAAATTAAGAAACAAAGCTATTTTATATAAATATTTCACATATCGATGCATTGTACAAAACTTAATATTATATATAACACTTTGTCATTTTATTGTATCAAATCAAATGGTGACTTAGAGTCACCTCTCGAGTACAAAGGGTTAACAAGTGAATTTTCGAGATGCAACATTAATCCGAAAAGTCCCGAAATAATTGTCAACAAATGATCTTTTTGTTCTACATGAAAAACGACTGACCCTCACGTTCCTGTTAGCTGTGAACCAAAAACCCTAGCAGCCTCGCCAACCGAAACCTTGACCTTACTTTCACCCCTTCTTTCGTAATACCGAGTCAGACTCGTGGCAAATGAACACCAATTAATAACTAATATATTAACCCTTTGCACTCGATTTATTTTCAACGTTGTCGGGTGTAAACTTTCATTTATTCTTAGGGAAACGAATTAAAGTAATTTACAGCGGTAGAATTCAACGTTTTATATTTATTTCATTTATTATTATTAAATGTAATTTCTATAATCTTTTTTTTCTAAAACAGTTTCCAACGTTCTATAACAAATCTGTATTATCATCTCCAGCATGACGAGTGCAAAGGGTTAAACCATGGACCGAGTAATTTCTCAATTACGAATACTGATACTACAGTATTAATCCACGTCGTCACGGATGAAATAATACAATGTAACATAGACATCTTTAATTAACAGTTCTACCTAGTTCATAGAAGAGACCTACGAAATCAGTATTACATAAAAGTAAATATCACTTAGAATGTAACATTCTAAGCTGTGAAAGCATTACAGCTAACAAAACTAAATATCATCAAGAATTTCATACAACATAAATAACACGCCATAACCATACTAAAAAATATTCAATAAGTATCAAACGTCCCCAAGAAAACTTACAAGCAATTCCCTGGTAAATCGAGAACGAACACCGAACGCAAACTCACAAACGTCCCCCGTCACCTACCAAAAATCTCCATCGACCACATGGTTCGTCGTCTACGAACTCAAACCCGCAAGGGATTCACGCTCAAACTTCCCAGCCCGTTCTCCGCGAAGAGCACACGCAGAAGGAAAAGAAGCTGAACAGCACTCACCATCGTCGTCGATGTAGGGATTGCCAAGGGACCTGTCGGCGAGAAGTAGGAAGAAGCAGAACAGCCACAGTAGACAGAACTTCATGACTCTCGGCGTGCCTCCTCGGTTCTAGCTTAGGGGATGTTAGGGTCCGCCGCGTTCGTCCCGGTCTAATGGAATGGTTCCTCGTGGATGTGTTGTCGCGTGCCCTTTCCAGTCCGGTGGCCGGAGTGCAAGTGAGGTTTCCACATCGGTCCGGTAGCTTATATAGACGCGGGAGGCGTGGCGACTTGCCCCCACGAGGATCTCGTCGCGGAGGGTGAGACCGCGGGATAAGACTTCGGCGAGGTTCCACGGTCGTTCCGTGGTGTCTGGACACCGGTCCCGGCGGTTTCACGGGCCGCCCGCGCCGAACGGGGATGACGAACGACGCGTTTCGCGTAGACGCTCGTAGGCGAAGAGGATTCTTTCAGAGACACCCACCGCGGCCGGCGAGGGTGCCGGCGGGGGTGGCCGGCGAGGGTGGCCGGCTAGCCTTGGAACGAGCAACTGGTTGCGAAGCAACTGGTACTCTCGCTGCGCCTATCGCGATTACGCGGCCCGTAATGCGATCTAAGGCCGCGTACAGACTGGACGGAACTGCTCGCGGCAAGGAGCAACGCTGGAGTTCCCGAATAGTTCGCTGGAAAGTATACGCTAAAGTGTGGTGGCTCTTTCTCGGAAAACTATTTCTTCCTTTCGTCTCTGTTGTTTCTTACTCCCTTTCTTTTGCCGGGTCTGTTCAAGTCATTTCGCGAGATTCGCATGGCTGGCGTCCACTAAGCGCTAAGTTCTTTAGCTGAGTCTCTATTTAGGTTTCTCCAGTACTTCGTAGCTTTCGTTCTTTTTGATTTTCTCTCTGTGTATCCGTATCTTTCTTCTTTCTTTACTGATCTGTTCTTCGAGGAGGATCCACTGAGGGAAGGCAGTCGATCTCGAACTTCGGCACTATCGACACTCTTTTACCGCTCGCGTATAGGCACTGTGGAACTGCAGCACCACCAATTTCCACTTGATATTATCGATGACATTGAATATTGTTGAGAGTGAGTAAATATATTTTTAATGGCTAGGAAGCATCCGTTGGTGCAGCCCTCTCCCTCGCAGAAGTCAGTTGTTTTTCCTGAGGACAGCCATTTTTATTGCACGCGCTGAGCGTCTTTTTTTCCTCTCCGCGTCGTTCGGCAGTTCGTAGCAAACCATCGAACAGCGTTCCGTTTCGGTTTTTGTAAATTATCTTAATAGATACTAATAAGTATACACTTAGTTTTTCCAAACTGTGTTGTGTTTATTTTTGCAAATAAATGTTCAACAAATATAATAAGTCCTTGATTCTTTAATTCTTTCTTTATACTTGTACAATATATAATCCTTGAGCTTAATGTCAGTAGCCATCAGCCAGTTTATGAAAAAGATACGAACATTTCGAAACAAAAGCTAAAAGTTTTCTGGAGCAGTACCCCCACTAAGTTTGTTCAGTGTACTTCGTTACCCACGGATCAAAGCAAACAACTATTTCGCTGTTATCAATGGTGACGAACATACTCGTCGTAACAGAAAATATTGTATTTAATAAAAATTGTACTGGAACATTGTTTCTGAGAAATAACGTGACACGTGGGTTACTGTGAAGGTTTCAGGAAATCATGAGACAAGTTCCAAATAAGTTCGAACTAGTAATTATACTGTTCTTCAAAATTGTCCTTGAGTATTAATATATCGAAGGAATTATGGACGTGTTTCAGAAATCACAGTTAATTTTTTCTTTATTGAAAGTATAATGCTAGCGTATGGCCGAGGTGTTGTACCCGAAGAAGGGTAGTGCGCTTTTTTGTATTTGTTCGCGTTTTCATTGTCAGCTGTTCAGCTGACAGGTTAACGACCGCTACAACACGTTCCATCGTGTCATGTCAACACTTTCTAAACTTAACCCCTTGCCCTATGATTTCTTTCTGAAATTTCTTTCTGAACTGTGAACGATCTAGCTACTTTGTTCTTAGTAATTCATTGAAAATAAAAGAAAATTCTAGTCTTGTTCTATGCCAACGTGTATTCTGAGGTATAGTCATTGATAACAGAGTAATAGAATGTAATTTGCATTCAAACGAATTCAATAATATTTAGGTTTGTTAAATTCTATTTGAAATCTTGTAAGACAAGGGGTTAAAAATGGCACATTCTCGAAACTTTTGCAGGAACCTACGTATACGCACAGCAAAAATGATGACAGGGAAAGTTTTCAAAGTCCGGTGGAAACTATAATTCATCCCTTACGTAGTTCGGAACTTTCGTCGATCGATTTATCTTTGTCCTTACAGAATCATTTAACAGAAGGAACGTTTACGAACGTAGATGCTGTAAAATCAATATCGCAACAGGTTTCATCAGCGAGGAAACTGAATTTTCATTGAAATGAAATTTCACTGAAATTAACACATTGCGGACCAATAGTTTTATTGCTAACTTCACCTGACCAGGTACGTCTCTGTTGAACGGATAAATGGTAAAAATGAAAAGCCGAGAATTCTCGCGATTAAAGCTTTAAAACGGAGCTCGAGAATTTTCGTGATTCATCCACAATGTGTTAAGATTGAAATGGATTTATACTAAAATTATACGAACCTATTCGATTAACAAATAATTTCTCATTAACGGAATGAATGTACTGGAAAGAAATGAGAAAAACGTGAAACGTTAAATCCTTTTACGGTGTGGTGGAAAACGGAGATTAATGTTCCAGGAAAAAGTACATGTGGTTTATTTAAAAAAAAACAGGGGTGACAAGGAATATGTCAACGAACACCTACATCAGATGATGAGACACCAAAATTAATACAGAAGAGTGAGAATAATGAGATACGAGACAGAGATATCGAAATGCGAATGTCTGTACGCGTTGCGTAAACAAAGGCTCGAGTTAATTACAAATAAATAGGTGGACAAAACAAACGGAGGCGTGCACACTAGACTAACACACGATAAAAGCGCAAATAATGATACTTTTTATGATGCATCAGTTATTTCCGATGCTTCAAGTACACATTAAAAAGCGTGAAACATCGAAGTGCGTTGCGATAAAAAATTGTTCGTCTTTGATAGCACAGAAAGATAATAAAGAATTTATTCAGGCTATTCAAAGTATAAGAAATATTGATTTTACTTGATTCGTGTCTTTTCTTAGATTTCTCGTTAAATTCTTACACAATTGTGCGAGGGAAATAAGGTCCACTAAATGAAACCACGTGGGCACGAACACGATTTTAATCGAAACTAACTTACCGCAGGGAAATGATTCTCAGATGATTTCAAATATAGTTCATAGTCTATGGTAAAAGAACATTGAGAGAATATTTTGTCAGTGTATAATATACAAATTTTATTGATCAATTATTACTATAATTTCATTCGGCTCTGTACGTGTAGAAATGTTTATTTAGATTCAATTCGGTACCAATAAATTTATAACTCGTAGCTTAAATTTCATAGCGAACAACGTTCGGTGTAATGGTCGTTATAATAAATTATTAATTGATTGATTATGTAATCAGAATGACATTATTATTACAATTATAATATTTAATGTGACGTTATTGTAAAGTTATGTAATCAGAATTACATAACTGATCAATTTTCATTTGAATGATTAATTACGTAGTTATGCATTTAATTGCACTGTTTTCGAAAACAATTCATTTTATCGTCGCCATTAACTGGTAAATAATATTTGAAACTTACAACGAACTATCGATAATAATTAATATTTAGTGAAAAAAACTTTCATTTTTTGTGAGAATGCACAGTACAGTAAGTTAGATGGCTGGAATGGTTGTATCAACATCCCTCGAGTTTATAGGGGAAGTTTGTATCATAAACTTCGCGCTATTATGTTCAATAGACTTTCATCGACGCTCGAGTATAGTAAAACTTTAATTCACGTTGATTGAGGTTCAAAATACCTTATAAGTGATTGGACGGTCAACCACTTTAGTCTGATTAATAAATAAGTCTTATATAAAGAGATCACTAGTGACAAAAGCGAAATGGAAAACAATACAGACGAAATCTAATCAGTCAGAGAAGTAAGTATAAATCAAGTTACAAAATAACTATAGAATCTTATTAATAGATGGATCGATAATTTTACATGTTTATGGTAGATGTGATTATTTAAAATTCAGTTGATACTTATTGTTAAAACGAATGCTTAAGTAATTAATAATCAAAGGAAATTTAAATGATTTAAAAGCTCGTTGTATTGTCTGATTAAGTATTACAATGGTAATGTATGTAATACTACAAGACTATAGTTTCAATATTATAATAATATAGTTTTACTATTATAATAACAGATGTATTTTTAATATTATAATATTATAGTTTTACTGTTGTACTAATATAGTTTTAATATTGTAATAATATAGTCTTACTATTATAATAACAGATGTATTTTTAATATTATAATATTATAGTTTTACTGTTGTACTAATATAGTTTTAATATTGTAATAATATAGTCTTGCTATTATAATGTTAATACTATGATATAATACCTTAAATATCATAGTTAAGTATTATTTTTTATTATTATTAATAATGTATAATAATATGAGTATTAATAATTATTATATATTATATTCCATTCCCACTTCAAACAAGAAATAATCAATAGCTTAAGGTTTCTGTTACTCGTACGTTATTTTCACTGGCAAAATTGCGAAATTCAAGCAGACTAACGAGTAACATTCGACATCGCACAGGATGTCGGAAGTATCGTTTTCATCACGTAGGTTACCCGAAAGAATGCGATCATCTGGCCATTTAATTTTCCTGCAGAGAGGTTTAACGCTCGCGAATCATGAAATTACATCGTCCATCGAATACTCCCTCGAATTTTGTGTTCGTCACGGCCATATGTACGTGTCAGATTTTATTGGTCGATCCACCTCGTATTTCTAGCTGGTCTCGCTTTTACGTTATTCGACACGCGAGAGTTATTGTAGATTAACCAAACATACGTTGAAATTTATGGATCAAATTTGTCACTTGGACAGAAATTGTCGTAATACCTTGAATTAACATATTCAATTCATATTAATTTACGCGATGAGTAAATAGCGTTACCTTTATCCTTTATTTATTATATTATATTATATTATATTATGTATTATTATATTATTTTATATTATGTATTATTATATTATATTATATTATGTATTATTATATTATATTATATTATATTATATATTATTATATTGTATTATATCATAGATTTTATACCTTAATAATAAATACAATTAAAGTACTATATTA